TAAAGTTGTAATGTTTCTTTTGCTTAAGTTACTATTGTTGCTATTGTTGCTATTGTTACCTAATCTATGTTCAAAAAATTAATATTCAGTTTTTGGGTTGTTCTTTTTTTGCAATTCGACTTTTTGTTACAGACATGCCCTTAACGATAGGTTAAAAAAAGCTCGCCAGAAAAACCTGTCTGCTGAATGTGCAGCTGAAAAACGATTAGGTCGTTTTCATACCGTATTTTCTGAGGCCCAAGAAAGAGAAATAGTTGAAAATGTCCTCTTTTTAGAAGAATGATTATTTGGCTTATCGCTACATGATCTGCGCAAATTAGCATTTGAGATAGCGGAAAAAACGGTATTCCACATACTTTCAACAAAGAAAGGAAAATGGCAGGAAAATAATGGATGTACAGCTTCCTTCAAAGGCATCCTCAGCTTTCTTTAAGAGACCCTGAGGAGACTAATCTTGCGAGCGCAAAAGAGTTCAATAGAGTTGCAGTAGGGAAGTTCTATGACTTACTAGAGTCCATATTTATGAAAAGCATAATATGTCACCTAGCGACATCTACAAGTTCGATGAGACGGGAATATTAACTGTTCCCAACAAACCTTCAAAAGTTCTAGCCATGCGTGGAAAACAACAGGTGGGCTGCTTGTCGTCGGCAGAATGAGGAGTTTTAGTTACAGTCGAAATGTGTATGAACGCAGCTGGTAATTTCATACCACCCATGTTTGTGTTTCTTCGGAAAAGAATCAACCCCATGCTGGTGGATGACGCACCACTAGTATCATCTGCATACTTTCATGAGAGTGGTTGGATTAATGCAGAATCATTTATTGCCTGGTTTGAACGGTTTGTGACCCACGCTAACCCTTTAAAAAAAACAACAGTCCTTTTTATACTTGATGGACATGCCTCTCATACAAATAGTTTAGCTCTTACAAATATGGCGAGAAAAATACGTTATCTTATTATGTTTTTTCCTACATACAACCCACCGTCTTCAGCCACTGGATGTGTCATTCATGGCGCCTCCCAGCACATACTATGAATAAGAAGTTCGTAAATGGTTAAAGCTCATCCTGGCAGAGCAGTAATAATCTATCAAGTGGCAAAATTGTTCGCAGCAGCATACCCTAGAGCTGCTAATTAAAGGGTTTGAAAAACTGGCACACATCCCTTTAATAGGGATATCTTTCCTGATCATTTGTATGCACCTGGAGACACAACCGACAGACCTGAACCTATCGCTTCTCTTACTGAGTTGGATCGTAAAAAAAATCATTGCGCCTTTCAAAACAACAATGAACCTTCTGCTAACAAAACTTTTAAGATTGACACACCTCCTATGAGTACAGTAGAAACCTCCTCAACAAACATTTATTTAGATCCACGACCTTCTACATTAGCAGGGTCCTCATCATTTTCCATTTCACCAAGTATGATGATGCCTCCTCCTCAAGAGTTTATTAGGAAACCTCAAACGAAACCTGGAAGAAAAAAAGGAAAAACCGTAATTCTAACATATCTCAAGTCCTTACAAGACAGAACTAGAAAAGGAAGAAGAAGAAAAAGAAGCAAAACAAAAAAAAAAGAAAAACCTGAACAGAAATGTAGTATTGACTATTGACAAAGATAACCAAGGAAATAAAGAAAAAGGAAAAAGGAAAAAAGAAAAACATAAAAAATCAGCCAAAGCAAAACAATTGCGATTCCACAACTTTAATATAGGAACAAGACGAAGAGAAGGCCAACGAAAAAAGAAGGCAATTTTTTCGTAAAGCTCAAATCATGTATATTTGAGAATTTATTGTTTTATTAAAAAACATTAGCGTTCCGATTTTGTCTGACTTTCCCCTATCGCTACACACTATCCATAAAGTATTGAAAAAATATCTGATAATGCATCCCCTATAAAGTTTCGATACTGCATACTGCCTTTATAATTTAATGTGTGAAGAGAGAAAGAGAGCTGTGAGGTAAAATGTGTGCTTAGGTTTCATTAATACTCGTAAGGATCTCTCTTAATAGGGTATTTTGTACCACAGTAGTTACTTTAACTGTAAGAATTGCCAAATTCTGCCTTTTTCATGTGCCTATTGTAATTTAAAGTTTTAGCTGTAGCTGAATATCTTAGAGTCGCCATCAATCTAAAATAAATAATTTATTATTTTATTTGTATTTTAATGCATAACATTTTTTGTTTATAACATTTTCTTGCGCCCGTTCTGGTTAAAATTTTGTTTCTAATATTGGCAATAAGGATAAACTAGTACGAATTATATTTCATAATTTCAGTTTATTATTCATTTCATTAAATACAAATTACACAAAAATAGCTAAGTTTTTAAGGTTATGTTATTTATGACATAATTTGTTTATTTTCTTTATTCGCAGTCTCTGGTAATAGCGAGAAACTATTTTCTACAATAATTTAAGTGTCCTATTACTTAAGCATACATTTTTTTGCTAATTATGAACAAAAATTAACAAAAGGTATCGTAATAGTGTACAAAAATTATTTTTAAATATATCTCGGTAGGGAGGAATATTTTATCTTAGTGTTTTAGATTAAATCGTCATGAGTCTACAGTTACAATATGGATCATTACACAGGCCCGCGAAAATTTTGTGATCTAGTCATTTTATTTTTTTCACCTATTTACAACTTCTATATAGCTAAAATAACCCCCTTTTTATTCTATCACGTAAACTTTTTTTGTAAACTAGTATCAAGGGTATTATCCCTGAACATCACAAACAAATTAATTTGAATTCCTTATTTTTGTTCAAAACGTTAAGACGCGTTAAAACCTCGTTTTAATTTACGCATTTGTAGAGGGATTTACCGGTACTTACTAGAATATTGTTGGGGATTCCCCGAGACTCGATTAATTCAGGAAAGAGGGCGATATATTTAGTATCCCCGTGGTATTGAGATAGGCGTTGTCTATCGAATTCTATCGGTGTTTCGTTGTGCACTTTCTATTAAAAAAATGTCTAGTAGGTATTAAAAAAATGTCTAGTAGATATTGTAAAAATATGCCTGATGACTTTTGTTATATTTGTGGACACTTTATAGTGAAGAAGTTTAAAATAAACATTACTGATTTCGAAAAAAATGCATATTTTGCATATTTTAAAGTCAGGCTTGGAGTTCAAGATAAACCTTGGGCGCCACATGTTATCTGCAAGATTTGCGAAGGAGCCTTGAGGCATTGGTTTAAAGGAACAAGAAAAGTCCTACCGTTTGGAATACCAATGGTCTGGAGAGATCCTAAAATTCACATTGACGACTGCTATTTTTGTCTTTGTGATATTAAAGGTCATAACACAAAATCTCTAAAGTATATTAACTATCCTAATATTTCGTCTGCAAGACCAGTTCCACATGACGCTGATATATCTGTACCTGTTTCAACTAAAATATTACAGTCTATCGAATCAAAATCTTCAAGAGATTCAGAAATTGACATTTAAGAGCCATCTACCTCAGGACCCCGTGAACCGCAGCTATTTTCTCAAGTAGAACTGAATGACTTAGTCAGAGATTTGGGACTTTCAAAAGACCTCTCTGAAGTTTTATAATCAAGGCTTAAAGAAAAAATTACTTGTTCCAGGTACTATATTTTATTGGTATAGAAATCGTGAGGCTGAATTTGTCAATTACTTTGCTGCAGCTGGTTCACTTGTATATTGTCAAAATGTATCTGACTTGGTTATTCACCTAGGTGCTCCTGAATACAATCCTGCCGAGTAGAGACTTTTTATAGACTCTTCAAAGAGAAGTCTTAAAGCTGTTCTACTTCATATTGGCAATTTATATGCATCTGTTCCTGTTGGTCATTCTACTCAGCTAAAAGAAAATTACAAAAATCCTGAGGTACTGCTTTTAAGAATAAACTACAGACAACATAACTGGATTCTATGTGGTGACCTTAAAATTTTTGGGTTGCTTTTAGGTCAACAATCCGTATATATGAAATACTCATGTTTCCTATGTGAGTGGGACAGTAGAACAGTAGATGACCACTGGACCAAAAAAAACTGGCCACCAAGAAAAAATTTAACGCCTGGCTCCAAAAACGTAATTCGGGAAAGTCTAGTTAATCCCGAGAAAATTTTATTACCCCCACTACTTATAAAATTGGGACCGATGAAACAATCTGTCAAAGCTCTAGACAAAAATGGTGGTTGCTTTAAGTACTTGTGTGAAACATTTCCGGGTCTCTGTGAAGCTAAATTAAAAGAAGGCATCTTTGTTTGGTCACAAATAAGAAGGTTAATGAAAAATAATGAAATTGAGACGGTTATGCAGGAAGACGAAAAAGAAGCATGGACAGCTTTTAAACAAGTTATAAATAAGTTTCTAGGAAACTACAAAGACCCTAAATTTGAAAGTATTGTTGAAAACATGTTGGACAAATTTAGAAAGTTAGGCTGTATCATGAGCTTAAAAATTCCTTTTCTACATGCCCATCTTGACTATTTTCCGGAGAATCTTGTCAGTGAAGAGCAAAGGGGCGCTTTCACCAGGACATAAAAGAGATGGAACAGCAATATCAAGGGCACTGGGATATCAAAATGATGGCCGACTACTGTTGGATGCTTAAAAGGGACCGTCCTACCGCAGAATATGCAGGAAAAACAACAAAAAGAAGCTTTTTCGGAAAGAGAGATAGATTTTTCAAGAAAACAAAGGATTAATGTATGTTACTTTTTAACTACTTCTCCGGTTTTATTGTTTGTTTTCTTGGTTTATTATTTTCTTTTTTATCCTAAGTATCTATAAATATATTTTTACTTTTTGCATGCTTGTAGTATTTTGTTTAAAAACCTTACATGATAGAAAAAACAAAAAGCAGATTTGAAATCAGCGTCACTGAAATACCGAATTTTAGTAGAAAAGTTCAATTCACACTTTACAGAGTATAAACGCAGGCCTGTGTTATTATTGAAAAACCCTGTATATCATATTAGATGATTCCAGGTATTAATAAAATATACCTACCTCTCCATTTTCCATTGGAGTTAATCTCGAATAAAACGAAGTGCATATCACTTCATTGTCGGTAAAGTAGTGAGGTTTTCCTTTGGTAGCTGGAATTGCGAAGCGTTCAAGACATTCCTTGTCCGTCCTAGCGAAAAACTGCCACGGTTCGTAATTTTCTCCATTTACGGATCGTTCTAAAACCCATGTGCCAGGTCTTGGGGAATTCGCCATCTTGATTATTATGTATGCTATTTGGTACACCTGAAAAATAAAAGTATATCATAAGTTATGTATAATTTACTTATAAATATTTAATTAAATTTAAAAAGAAAATAATAAGTGGTGCACTTATTATCGGCAATCAGAGACGCGCCAAGTCTTATTTTATTTTTATTAGTAATAAAGTTAATTAACTTTTTTTCAATTTCTATTTTACTTATATATTTTTGATTCGTTATTGATCCTATTACTAAGAGGATTAGACGGAAGAAAAGCTGTAGGTTAAATCTCGCCCTTAACTTTATTTTTGTTATTTTCAAAAATGTTTAAATAAAGACGTTTTATTATTATTATTATTATTATTATTATTATGATGTTAAAATCTGAATTGAATTAAAAGTAACGAACTAAAAAATACCAAATAACTGGGTTATTACTCCAGTCAACAACTTTTATAAAACCAAAGAATTATTCAAGGGCAATACATGTTAATATTCTTCAAAATAATAAGAAACTTTTTATTTAAATATAGATTTTATTTAATTAGAGAGATAGTCAACAAAAGAGAGACTTGAGCAAAATGCTGTGCTCGAAACTCTGGCCGAATGACCGCTCTAGCAATGACCGTGCCTTCTAGAACTTATGTCCCATTAATCTTGTTAAAAAGTAAAACTTTTGTGCATCGAACTGTATACAGGGTGTTTATTATTATAAATCAGTATTTACAACATTAAAATCAATTATTTTACCCTGTACTTTTAAAACTCTACACAAATTAGGTACCATCTTCATTTATTTTTAACTACTGCATTTTCCAATAAGAAATTGAACATCTACACAGGATCGGGCTCACTTTATTTGATAAAGTAACAGAACAAACTAACAGAAACATAAAATTAATTTAAACTACAGTAAATTTTTAAAGTGAACACCGTGAACGTCAATACACCTCTGCGAACGTTTAAACAGGTTTTTCACTGATTTGTCAATTATTTCTGATTTATTTCTAATGTTGTTGCATGCATTATTAATTTTTCCCAATAACTGTGCCCGGTATTCATTTCTTCGTTGTACACCTCTGATTTAAGGTGGCCCCTCGACCTATCCATCGACTTGAACACACATTAAATGTTTGGTGTGGAATTTTTAAAAAATACCCAAGCTTAGTTAAATAATCGTTTCCCAAATAGATAGATAGATAGATAGATAGGTCGAGGCGGTCCCGTCAATTGGCCACCAATATCTCCAGATCTAACACCTCTGGATTATTTTTTATGGGGCTACCTTAAATCAGAGGTATAGAACGAAGAAATGAATACCCGAGCACAGTTATTGGAAAAAATTAACAATGTATGTAACAACATTAGAAATAAACCGAAAATAATTGACAAATCAGTAAAAAACCTGTTAAAACGTTCGCAGAGGTGTATTGATGTTCACGCTGTTCATTTTGAAAATGTACTTTAGCTTTAATTAATTATTTGTTTCTGTTAGTTTGTTCTATTACTTTATTAAATAAAGTGAGCCCGGTCCTGTGTAGATGTTCAATTTCCTAATGGAAAATGCTGTAGTTAAAAAAAAATGAAGATGATACCTAATTTGTGTAGGGTACAGGGTAAAATATTTGATTTTAATTTTGTAAATACTGATTTATAATAATGTAGTCGCCATTATAAAAATATTTTGTAAGAACATCAAGATGGTGCCATTAAATATTATTACATTATTTTATTTGTTGATCCATGTACTATTTAAATATGCAGTAACATTTATTAAAATCCGATATACAGGGTGATATTCTAGCTAAGAAGAGCAATATAAAAAAAAAGAGAGTCCGGTCCTGGAAGAGCCCTAAGAATAATTATTGATTCTCATTTATTTTTTCCTAATTAATCACTTTATGTTCGAAGTATTATACACTTTGAAAAAATTAACGCTGATTATAAATTCAATACAGATGATCCGTACCAATAAAATTTGGATTACGGTCCATATTACCCAAAAACCGTCATTGAATGCATTGTGTAATACACCGCTGGATGCAGGATGAAAAGTTATTTCAAATAATGTTATAAAATATCCAGGTCCATATTTAAAAAAATAAGTTGAGGGTGGTCCGGAGAATACGAAACGTTAGATGCAAAATAGGAAAAGGTCAAATCAAAGAAAATTTAATATCAAATAAAACCTTTCAAATATTTTTTGGTAGTTCTGAAAATAAATGAACGATAACCAAAAAACCGAAAAGATTGAATTTTCTTTTATCGAAATATCTCAAGAAACGGGCCTGCTATTCTCGATTAATTTCCACCGCTAGATTATGCTTTCTCCATTTAACCAACTTTCTAACTAGTATGCTTTGAAAATTACTAATGCAATCCCACTAAAAAAGTGGCCACCCTGTAGATACAAGGAGTCCGAACGTAATGTTGAATGAATGACATCAATTTGGGGGACAGTTTTTTTGCAGGTAGGGCGTGCTACTTTTGAAGAAGTACTCGTTTTATTAATTATTATTTGAAAATTAAACAAATTTATTAATCAAGCATTTGTTAAAAACAAATTTTTTATATTATTTTGAGGTTACTCACTTTCGGTGCTTTGAATAAAGCCACTTTTCCTAAATTCTCATTTGCCTTTCGGTACGTCCTGAGTATTTGCGCAGCCAGTGGTAGAAAAAAGAACTAAGATCTGGGTTTAATATTTGGGTACATTAGGGTGGCCCAAAAAAAGCTAAAATTTTTTTTAATTTAAGTCTTCTATAAAAATATGTTAGTTTATCATGTTTCAAGGGCCCCCTCTAAAGGACCACTCAAAAAAAAATTTTTAAAGGGTGGCTCCAAATTTTTAAAAAATTCCAAAATCGTCGAAAACCGGATTTTTTGTTTTAAATTTTTTTCTCTCATTATTTTATTTTTTTTTTATAAGAAAAATCATAAGGATCCTGAAAATTTCAAGTCGAAATTTTAATATTGAAAGGTCGCTCCAATTTTTCAAAAGTTTCAAATCGAGTACTTTATATCTTTTCGAGCTACTTTTGAATATGAATATTAACGAACTTTATATTTTTTTGTTTTCATTAAACTTTTTTTTCGTTTGTCGTGCTTCAATTTCATTCTTTAGTATGTAAAATAAAAGAAAAAAAATATAAAGTTCGTTAATATTCATGTTCAAAAGTAGCTAGAAAAGATATAAAGTACTCGACTTGGAACCTTACAAAAATTCGGAGTTTCTGATGTCTACTATTTCCAGTATTATTGTTATTACTACAAAAATAAAGGTAATGTTTCTTCTTATTGTACACCTATCCATTTATTTCTTTCCACTTTGCTACTGAATTTTTTTGCAATTTACACTGTTTTTTTGGCTAGTATTTTTTATACAATTTTCAATACAGCAACTCCGGTTGCCTATTGTATTGTTTTTACCTACTTGTAAAATGTATGCGTGTATTTGATATGCCAAAATTTCAATATATCGTCCTAAAATGCACGAATTATCCGCAGCTAGCGTTAGCATCGCTTTTGCTTCCCCTACCATGACTTCACACTGAGCGGATACGAATCGGACAGTTGCCAAATCAATATTTCTTTTTATGACATGTATTATAATTGAACTGTCAACAGTATTATTTTTGTGTTTAACAAAAAAAAAGTTATTTTTCGATTTAAAAAATATCTAAGCATTTAAAAGCCGAACGAAAGTAAGAGATAATGGTGGCCCTTTATTATCAATAAATGCAGCCAAAGAGCATGTAGCAGCGGCGTTGAATTTGCATATTTCGACAGTAAGCTCAATTTCCCAGGCATTAAAGACTAATATTTTAAATTCTCCTTTAAAAAGGCGATCATATTCCAAACCTGTACCCGAAATTTTCAATTGTGCCTACATTCGTGATTTCAGTTACGGTATGTATAAGAAGAAACAATAAATAACTCTTGCGAAATTACATGAAACTTTAACGTAAAGAGAAATGTATACAGTGTTAACCAATATATGATTTAAATCGAAGAAAGATGATCCTCGGCGGGGTCTTCTGGAACTTCCTCATGTTGCCAGTAAAGGATCTATATTTTTTTATCTGGATGAAACATGGATTTGTTTATTATCTTAGCAGTGTTGCGAATGTCTGGATAATTATCTAATATTCGGATAATTCCGTGTATCATCGGATAATTTTCGAATAATTCAGTATTCTACAAAATGGACTAACCTTTAATACTCGTAATTAAATTGACTTCATATAGTTTTATTTAAATTAACAAATTATTTGTAATTATAGACTAAATAAAAATATAAATTCTATTATTTATCGATTCTTCACAAGAAAAGCTCATTTTAATGTATGTTTAATCTAAATAACTAAAAAATATACTGACAATTAGTCGACAGAATTGTACCTTATTTAAAATTTTAAAAATAATAGCAGTCGGATGATCAAAATATAAACTGTGATTGGTGGATTTCATTTTTTTGCCGTGTTCTTACTACCTAAAATGGATATGAAATATATTCGTTCAGTTGAAAGCAATAGCATACTTTTTCGTTTTGTAATCTGTGCGTAGATAAACTAATATCCATGTGGGTGTAGAAAAAATAGTTTAAAATCAAATATATATTTTCTATATAGAATTTTTTTTTATTTGTAGCGGTGTTTAACTATTATTAAAGCACTAACAACACATTGATTTTTATGTGTAGCATATTCGAATAAGGGGATTTCCCGAAAGCTATATGGACTTTCCCTACAGTAGAAAATATAAATAAACGCTCTGCCTGCAGCCGAGTAGCGATACAAAATATTTTAAAAATAAATTTTTTTAAATTTCGATGGTTAAAAAATACAATATTTAAAATTTAGGAAGGTATACATTCCAGTTAAAATTTACTCAGGCAAATAAGAGTTCAACAAGGTTCATATACAAGATGAAAATTATTTAAAACTTTCTTCACATCTTAATTGCCAACGAAAACACAAATTAAAACTTTGCAATTCAAATTTTTCCATTATGGTGTATTTTAGAGAAAATACCACCCTAGATGTTCCAACTTTGTCCAAAATC